AAGCAGAGGGTTGAATCCTGCAAAACCCTCCTTCGAATTAAGTCAGTCAAATAACACAGATTTCTATAAAAGCATGGTGACTATGGATGAAACATAGATTCATCATTTTGATCCAGAACAAACATGTCCTCCGTGCAATGGAAAACCCATCTTCCCCCCTCACCAAAGAAAGCAAAAGTAACACAGTCAAGTGGAAAGGTTATCCTGTCGTTTTTCTGGGATTGTGAAGGTATCATTATGACTGATTACCTGGAAAATGGAAAAAACAGTCACGGGAAACTACTACTTGGGTTTGATGATAACATTCTGGTCCGCATTAATGAGAAAAAGGCCTGGAAAATTCCGTAATGGGGTCCTTCTACTGCATGACAACTCCCCTGCGCACAGGGCACAACAAGTAGTCCAGACAGCAGAACAATGTGGCTTTGAAATCCTGCCACAACCAGCTTATTCACCAGACCTAGCTCCCTCAGACTTTTTTTCTGTTTTCTAATCTTTAAAAAATCACTGAAAGGACGTTGTTTCCATGACAACGAGGACGCCATTGAAGCTTTTGAAGACTGGTTTGGGGCCCATTCTGGATCATTTTTCTCTCAAGGACTTTTGAAGGTCAAAGAGAGGTGGCAGAAATGTGTAACTCTGCATGGTGACTATGTAGAGAAATAAAAGTATGTGTGCCAAGTTACAAAACTCTATCTTTATTCCTTCATATTTAACCAAAGACTTCTTGAACCCCTCTCGTATGAATTCTCGTGTACCATAAATCTATCACGTACTTATAACACACTTTAAAAATTCGCTTCACAGCGAATGTTATTACTTGCGTGACGAACTCTTCTTGGGGGCCCTCGTGGTCTAGAGGTTCTGGTGTTTGCCTCTTCTTCAATAGGTCCCGGGTTCGAATCCGGACAACGAAGGGAAAGAACATTTCTTTTCTAAGATTTTCTCCTTTCATCCTCTTCCTTGCTTTCTAACCACGTTTTGTCGTCTGCTTTCGTCTCCATTTTCTGCCCCCTCCACCTTCTCCTTTGCCCCTTCCTCTGGGCTCCTGACTCTTCTTCAATCTTTCTACTGCAGCAGCTACTCCTCGGCTCCATCTCACTGTTGTATTTCAACCATACCACTGACCTTATGGTAGATTAAGATCTAACACCTAGCCTTCTCGGATGAGGGCGAAAAATCTCGGAGGTCCCGTGCGTAGGTTGCGCACGTTAAAGATCCCTTGGTGGTCCTAAAACCGATAACTGTAGTTTTCGACCGCCATCCGGGCAAAATTCAAAATTTCCTACCAACTGAAAACTGTTTAATATGTCCCGCGCGCTCATAAGACCTATTAATATGCAGATATGAGCACCGTAAAGCACTCACAAAAAGGCGTTCTATAAGTATTCTATACATGTGGGGCATCGTGGTGAAATCAGGCGCTCGTTAAAATCATGAAATCGAGGAAAACGTCATTTTCCACTGTATTGGCAATTTTTTAAAATCGATTTCCTTTTTTTTGTCTCAACACCTTTTGGTCTATTAAAAAAAACCAACACATTTTCTTGTGGATTTTATTGAAAGTAAACTAAGTAAAGGCATCAAAAAATGTAAATTTTCAGTTTTCAAGGACTCTCAAGCTTTGGAAATCACCTATTCTTTGCGGCCCCTTTCAGGCTAACTTAATCTCTGAAACAGACTACCTCTACCCTCCTTCAATCGCAAATATCTCGACTTCTATTCATAACAAATGGGTATGTTTTAGTTATCAAAAGCAAGACAAGTGAAAAAGCTCTAAGATGATACTAATAGCTCTATATGCCAAAAATTTGACTAGCGCTTGATTCCACCACGTCGTGACACAAATTAATTTTAATAGTTCAGAATAAAGTTGAAAATCACAAACGAAGATCCATATTACAGCTATTATCCTGTAGAACCAAGAGTTTATGTTATTGGCTCTGCAAGAAACAGATCTATTCCTTATCCTCTACTTTTTCTTCTTCTTCTGAGACAAAGTACCAGTGGCTGTGTTGTAGCAGCAATGCGCTGTGCCGCTACACGCAAAAGATATGAGTTCAATTCCCGAGAAGGGAGGGGTTTTTTTTTTCGTAAATCGATTATCTCTGTCTGTCAGCTGGGATGTTATATCCTTCTCAGCTGCCCGTGTTACCCCTGACGGGCAGGTTGAAGCAGCCTGCCTCCCAAGTGGTATGGATTGAGATGACGGGAGCAAAGAGACTGATATTTGCTGTTTGAAATAAAATGCTACTTCAACTCTTATGAACATTGGGAGGGGGGAGGGGGGGGTAAGCACTATTGACAATTTATAACGTTAACAACTTTAAGTGTGGCTGGTGTTTTTCATGTCACGTTTATTGCTAATATTCCTCTCTTACACTTCCACCCAATAGGGAGCTAAATCCACTGCACACTCTCAACAGGTGCAACTAATTAACAACACACAACACGGAGCCAAAAGGCGTAAACAATCTCAAGTAGATGACACACCATGTTGCAAGTTTAACAAAAACCACTCTAAACTCCGACAGACTTTACACACTACAGGGTCTGAAGCTATGAGCAATCTTGTTCATGTAAAACAAATTTCAAGCCTATTCACAAAACATACTCAAAACTCTAATCAATAATGCACATCAAAATCTTCCAAATCCACAAAGACGCGAATGCTAGTACGAGTAACGCAATTTTTAAAGCATATAAGAAAAACTAAAACAAAAAAAGACCCCCCCCCCCCCCCCCCCAAAAAAAAAACCAACCCAAAACAACAACAAGAAATAACGAGCAAATTTGTATTAACAGTAAACATCACAAATCACAACGCCAAATGCATGAATACTACAGACATGCAACACAGTTCTGAATTTTTACGAAAAGCATCACTCTAAATTATATTGAGCAATAAACATCTTTACTTTACTTTACTTTACTTTACTTTACTTTACTTTACTTTAACTTAACTTTACTTAACTTTACTTTACTTTACTTTACTTTAACTTAACTTTACTTAACTTTACTTTAACTTAACTTAACTTAACTTTACTTTAACTTAACTTTACTTTACTTAACTTTACTTTAACTTAGCTTTACTCTACTTTACTTTGCTTTACTTTGCTTTGCTTTACTTTACTTTACTTTACTTTACTTTACTTTACTTTACTTTACTTTACTTTACTTTACTCTACTTTACTTTACTCTACTTTACTTTATTTTACTCTACTCTGCTCTACTTTTCTTTACTTTTACTTCATTTCACTTTATTTTTCTTAACTTTACTGTACTTAACCGTCTCCGGCCTCGGCTACATTGCGGTGTCGAGAGGGAGGAGCAAACGTCTTTGAACAATTGTGAGGCAGCGTGGTGGAATCAGGCTCTCGTCAATTTTGGGGCATGTAGAGTTATTGGTATCATCTTCAAGCTTGTTCACTTATCTTTATTTGGATGAAAAAATATCCATTTATCTTGAATACAAGTGGAGATATTGGCGAATGAAGGAAGTGGGGGTCACCTGTTTTCAGAGGTAAAATTAGTGAGAAAATGGCCTCCAAAGATCAGTTATTTCGTTAGCTAAGAGTCCGTGATAACTGAAAATTTACATTTTTTGTGCCTTTAATCAACGTTTTTCAGAAAAATCCACGCAGAAATGGGTTCTTTAATGGGCTTGAAAGGTGTTAAGCCAAAAAACAAAAATGTGATAAAAATGCAAAAACCTGCAGAATATGCAAGTTTCTTCACTTTGATTATTTTGACGAGAGCCTGATTCCACCACGCTGCCTCACAATTATAATAAACATAACAAAACAAGAAAGCAATGAGAATTCTGCTATAATATCATGTGCAACCTAGTAAGCATAAGAAAAAAAATCCTAACTAAAATTCAATAAACATAATTTCATTGTTATAAACACACCTGTTACGTTTTCGAGGTTATGAAAAAAAAACGTGTACGTTATTTATAACATCCGCTATCACCAATCAGTAAAAAAGAATATATTTTTAAAAAATCAGCTCTTTAATCATTTTCCATACAACATTCGTTTATATCTATATTCTTCAATTCTTTAGCACATTTCACCTTAAGAGAACTTCAAAAACAATTTTTCTTATGTGGTTTAAGAGAAAAGTGGTAAATTTGGTAAACTTTCCACCCAAGCCAGCACTAGATTAACACTATTTTGTTTCGATGGTGTTATGTTCTAATCATACAACTGATTTCAAAACATTTCTCCACCGGCAAGAGAATCCTTCTGATTAGTGAAATACTTAGGTTTTGGGGGAACTTGTGGATTAATGGACACCATTAATAAAATTATTAATAATAACATTACAATTTTGGCCCACGACAGTACTTCTATCCTATTTATAGCGCTTGCTGGCGCCCGATTTATGTTCAGGACTTGCAGATCGACCTTTGTAAAGGTTTTAGATGCCCCCCCCCCCCATTACATAAAAAAACCCAACTATTTGTGAGGTAGCGTGGTGAAATCAGGCTCTCGTCAATTTTTGGGCATGTAGAGTTATTGGTATCATCTTAAAGCTTATTCACTTGTCTTTATTTGGATGAAAAAAAAATACATTTATCTTGAATACAGGTCGAGATATTTGCGAAAGAAGGATGTGGGGTCACCTGTTTTTAGAGGTAAAATTAGTGAGAAAAAAGGCCACAAAGATCAGTTATTTCCTTAGCTTAAGAGTCCGCGGTAACTGAAAATTTACATTTTTGTGCCTTTATTCAATGTTTTCAGAAAAATCCACACAGATATACGTTCTTTAATGGGTATGAAAGGAGTTGAGCCAAAAAACAAGAATTTGATTAAAATTCACAAACCTGCGGAAAAATGCAAGTTTCTTCATTTTGATTATTTTGACGAGAGCCTGGTTCCACCACGCTGCCTCACATTTTTTTTTTAAATTAAAAAGTTAACCATTTTTTTTTTCAAGTCACACTATTAGAGCGTAACACTGCAATGAATGGGAAGACAACACGAGGAAAAAAAACCGCAGTCATATATTTTTACTAAAACTGACAAAAAAGGAAAGAGAAAATTATAAACAAAATTGGTTTCTCTTGGGCGTGCTCAGGGCGGTCTGTTTCGTTTACGCTAAGTCCTAAATCAAAATCATTAAGCTCATAAAAAACAAAGCGTGAGAGTCAGCCTATTTTTCTAAAGACTGGTAATGGCATCACAAGCAACTGACACCGCAGTACTATTAAATGGCAAACACAGAAACACTGACGAACATCATACAAAGCAATATTGACATAGTAAAACCTTGATAGCGCAAAGTCGAGTCGGGCGATCGGCCGAATCCAGCCGTAGTGGGCACCCCGTATAAAGGAAACTCCCTTCTCTTTGGTTCAGAAAACAAAAGAGTTCTGCATCAAATTATATTATTGGGGTTACATCCCTTGCATTGAAAAGGGTGTGGAATTTTCAAGTGGGTGGAATTGCACTATCTAACCCTACTTAACAACAACAGCAACAACAAATAGCAGCAGCAGCAACAACAACAGCAGCCACAACCCAGGGATGATGTGGCGTCATAGTGAAACCAGGCCCTCGTCAAAATAATAAAATTGCAGAAATTGACATTTTCCGCCAGGTAGGCAATTTAATTTTTTTTTCTTGTTGTTTTGGGCTCAAAATCCTTTATATCCGTATAAAATCTCATTCCTGCTTGGAGTTTTACGGAACAACGTTAATGAGAGGCAAAAAATGTAAATTTACTGTTCCCAGCTATTTTCTTACTAATTTTACCTCTAATACCAAGAGACCCCCACCTATTTCACTCACAAATTAAATATCTTAAATCGTTTTCAAGATAGACGGGTAATATTTTTCATCAGGAGAGGGGAAAATGAACATGCTGTAACTTTAAGAGTGTACCAAATAACTCAATTTGAAAAAAAATAGACGAGCACCTGATTCCACCACATCGAGACACATAACATAAATGAATTCCCTGCTGCTGCTACAACTCTTTCCCTACCAGACCGTTTTCCTCACAGAGACCAAGCTTTTTTGGTGGCCAATTTTTCTGTTCAGACTGTAATAAGAAAACAAGTGCAATTTCTTCAAAAATTGTAATGGAAACTGACATTTGTTATATAAAAAATTGTAGGAAAATATTATTAATATCAAACAGTAGGAATTATACCTGAGAGTGTAAAAAAAATGTTTGATCGTGTCTGAAGGCAACTTAGGTGGTTGATCGTATTTGAAGACAAAACTATTTTCATAATCAACGAACTTGCTGAACGGTGAAATGCATCTCAGGTGTACGAAGATGGGTCTTGAGAGTCGTATTCAAAGGCTGGGTTGGGGATAGGTTGAACATTAAGCAAATCTTATCACTGCCTCTGTCGCTATATGTTCAATATAGTCTTCGAATATATCACTATTATTTAGTTCCGTTTCTCCTGTGTTGTTTTTGATTATCATTGTTAGAGCATCGGGGTTTCCTGGGATTCTGTTTTCAGCAAACAGTTGACGTTTTACCTGTAAATGAAAAACCAAATAAAACAGAAAGGTAAATAAAGTAGAAAATCACAAACGAAGATCCATATTACAGCTATCATCCTGTAGAACCAAGAGTTTGAGTTATTAGCTCGGCAAGATACAGATCTATTCCTTATCCTCTACTTTTTCTTCTTCTGAGACAAAGTACCAGTGGCTGTGATGGAGCAGCAATGCGCTGTGCCGCTACACGCAAAAGATATGCGTTCGATTCCCGTGAAGGGAGGTTTTTTTTTTTGTAAATCGATTGTCTCTGTCTGTCAGCTGGGATGTTATATCCTTCTCAGTCACCTGTGTTAGCCCTGACGGCAGGTTGAAGCAGCCTGCCTCCCAAAGGGTATGAATTGAGATGACAGGCGCAAATATAGGTTGCTCCAAATCTGGTTGTTAGGGTCAGCCCGGGTGGCTGAGAGGGATACAATGTCCCAGCGTACAATTTCAGTTTTACAGTAAGACAATGTCCGTCCTGTCATACTTCTTGACTGATTGCAATTGCTTTCACCCCACCCCCCCATTTTTTTCCAAAAAACAAACACCCCCCCACCACCAACACGGGCGCTCCCTTTATCCTAGTTTGTATCACGCTGGACTACGGGGAATGGATGGCCCTGGTTCGAATCCCAAACTGGGCGTTCTCAAACCCATGTCATTTTGTGGTATTTTGAAAACTTCACCCCACGTAGCTCGTTCCTATCGGAGACGGACGTTAGATTCAGAGCTCCCATCTCTTAAATAAACGTATTTTTTTCATTGGGGCGTTTAACTCGTACACTTACTTTTTGCACTAAATTACACCCACCAACACAATTTAGACCATTCAGAAAGGCTGGAAAACCTGAACCCAATGGGATAAAGCATCCCAGGGCAATATAATGAAGAAGAAGAAGAAGAAGAAGAAGAAGAAGAAGAAGAAGAAGAAGAAGAAGAAGAAGAAGAAGAAGAAGAAGAAGAAGAAGAAGAATGATAGTTCATCTATCAATTTCTGGCGATGACCAATGCTTTTGCAGATGAGAATATTTCTTAAAGCAAAAATAGAAGAAATAAAGAATTTCCGTTAAGATGACTTGTGGTTTTTCAATATAATTTGTTATAATAGTAATGCTATAGTTCAATTTACCTTACGTTTATAGTTTCTCAGATTTTGTTATTGTTTTTTTTTTCGTAGACCCACATTAGTTTCTTATATTAAACAAATTATTCCTGACATACCTTTAAGATGATATCAATAACTTCATAATATGCCCCAAAAATCAAGGAACGCCTGACGTATCGCATTTTAACACATTGTGTGGCATCGTGGTGAAGTCAGGGGCTATTAAATAAATGGAAATCAAAGAAACTGTCTTTTTCTCTGACCGCCTGGCAGTTTTGTTCTAATTTTTTAAATTGACTTAACACCTTTTAAGTTAATTTAAAAACTCATTTCTGTCTGGATTTTACTGAAAAACACGGATTAAACGCACAAAAAAAGTAAATTTAAAGTTTCCAAGACCTCTCAAGCTATGGAAGTTAGCAAACTTTGGCGCCATTTTCTCGCTAATTTTATTTCTAAAACCAGATGACCCTCACCTCCTTCAATCGCAAATATCTCAACTTCAATTCTACGTAGATGGATATTTTTTCACCAAGAGCAAGGCAAATAAACAGGCTTGAAGCTGATATCAATAACCCCTATGTGAGGCAGCGCGGTGGAATCAGGCTCTCGTCAAAATAATCAAAGTGAAGAAACTTGCATTTTTCTGCAGGTTTGTGAATTTTTATCAAATTTTTATTTTTGGGCTCCACACATTTCATGCCTATTAAAGAATTCATTTCTGTGTGGATTTTTCTGGAAAAACGTTGATTAAAGGGACAAAAGATGTAAATTTTCAATTACCACGGACTCTTAAGCTAAGGAGATAAATGATTTTTGGCAGCCATTTTCTCACTAATGTTACCTCTGAAAACAGGTGACCCCCACCTCCTTCATTCTCAAATATCTCGACTTGTATTTAAGATAAACGGATATTTTTTCATCCAAATAAAAACAAATGAACAAGCTTTAAGATTATACCAATAACTCGATGTGCCCAAAAATTGACGAGAGCCTGATTCCACCACGATGCCTCACATATGACGAGCGGCTGATTCCACCACGTCGTGCCACTACAATGACACAGTCCAAGACGTCTACCTGTGTAACACAACTATTTTACTTGTCGACAAAGGATTACCAACTTGAACAATTAATTATGTTGACTGTATTTATTTTACCTGTGCGACAGTAAGAGGCAAACCACCATTGTCACCATTTGCGTCTGGTCCAGTTTCTACTGGCACCGTTCTCCGTTGAGGCACGTTTTCGTTCGGGAACTTCACTAAAACTTCCACTCCACTAACAGCCGACTCTGCAACACATAGAAAAGAAGATGAAAAAAACCCTGTAAATTTTATGCAATGGAAAGTAACGTATACCTCCTTGAACAACAAACGTCCAGCAGTTCTTTGTTTCTTCGCTATAATATACTATATTCTATTATATAGTATTGTGATAGCTATCACTGGTAATCTCTACAAAACCGTCGATTACGAAGTGGGGAGAATTTTTAAAAAATTAAGTATCTCGGTCTTTCTGCAGGAATGTTGTAGCCCTCTCAATCCGGGTTGACCCTGACAGGCAGGGTCGGAAAGCGTCTCCTAAATTATCTAAGTTTTGTTAATGGGGGCATAAAAACAACTCCTTTAAAATGAAAAAAACCCCCCCAAAACCTCAACAACTTTTTTTTTCATGACAGCTTGCATCATTTACATTTCATTCAACGTAAAAGAGCAAAGCTCCTAAAATAAAGCATGAAAAGCAACTTACTTCTATAGACTCATAGTAACACTCAAAAAACTGCTGACACGGCAATACTTACAAACTGCTGACACGGCAATACTAACAAACTGCTGATACAGCAATACTAAACTAATGACCCCAGTCCACCGACAGTCCTCTCTGAACCACAGAAGACGATTTTTAAAGATGATTTTAACGATTTTAAAGGCCTTCGGCCCATACATCCACACACTATAAGATATGACTCAGCAAATAAATAAATGGGGTTTCAGCACATTAGATAATTTCATACTTTGAGGACAATACTATTGATGGAAGTAATATACATACATATAATTATATATACATACATATAATATATTTAAACAAATATATATACATACATACACATATATACATACCACACAGGAAGAAAAGAATATGTGAGACAGCGTGGTGGAATCAGGCTCTCGTCAATTTTTGGGCATATTGAGTTATTGGTATCATCTGAAAGCTTGTTCATTTGTCTTGCTTTCAGTGAACAAATTACCCATCCATCTTCAATAGAAGTGGAGATATTTTGGATTGAAGGAGGTGGGGGTTACCTGGTTTAAGAAGTAAAATTAGCCAGAAAATGGCCGCCAAAACTTGGTAAATTCCAAAGCTGGAGAGTCCATGGAAACTGTAAATATATATTTTTTTACCTTTAATCAATGTTTTCGGTGAAATCCTCAAAGGAATGTGTTTGTAAATGGACATAAAAGGTGTTGAGCCAAAAAAACAAAAATTTGATAAAAATTGCGAAGCAGGGAGAAAACTGCTGTTTTCTTCGATTTCATTATTTTGACGAGAGCCTGATTCCATCACGCTGCCTCACATATGAATGTAACTGAATATTCTGCAGAGCATAATGCAAGGGGGCAAAATGAGAGGAAGGCTCAAGAAAAGATGGAAGAAAATATTTAACAGTGGACAGGCTTGAACGTATGATCTGAGGTTTTGAGGAAGCCCACGAGCTGTGTATATTAAACAAATGTTAAGCATTTCATATTGTTATGTTATTTTCTCTTTAATTCAAACAAGACTTCCCCTCCTACTCTGCTTTCCAAGCAATGATGATGATGATGATAATGATGATGATGATGATGATGATGATGATGAAATATATATTTTTTTGTGGAAATACAACAAGGTCTTAACTGTTTTAATACCTTCTTTATACAATGATGATGATGATGATGATGATGATGATGATGGTGATGATGATGAGGATGATGATGGTGATGATGAGATGATGATGATGGTTTGTGGCTAAAGGTGGAGGTGTACCATACAATGTACTTCTTTACTTAGAGCATGAGGCGTGTGTTTTGGGATGCTCTTAACTAAGCTACGAAAATATAACATGTGTCACGACGCGGTGAAATCAGGCGCTCGTCATTTTTAGCGATATTGGTATCATCTTAAAGCTTGTCCGTTTATCTTGCTTTTAATTTTTTTTAAAACCCACCCACCTATCGTGAACAGGAGTCAAAACATTTGCTATTGAAGGAGGTGGTGGTTGCCTGGTGCCACAGGTAAGATTAGCCCAAAAAATAATTTTAAAAGGCCGCAAATGTTTACTGACTTCCAAAGCTTAAGTGTTCTTCAAAACAGTAAACTTACATTTCTTGTGCTTTTGGTCAAGTTTTTTTCAGTAGAATCTATACAGAAATGTGTTTTTTTAAATAGACAAAATGTTTTGAGTACAAACAAAGGAAGAGAGGAAGAAAGCCGGTTTCTTTCATTTCATCATTTTGACGAGCGCTTGAGTCTACCACAATGCCACACAAAAAATCCACATCAGTTTATCATGATGATTTAAACGTTGTGCCTGTTTTTTTTCTGTTACCTGCAGCGTCAAGGCTAAAGTCTGTATCATCGGCCATCCTTTCTGCTGCAGTGAGTTGGGATTCTGTAACGAAAAAAAAAAAAAGTAGAAGTAAAGGATCAGTTCTTACACTGCTCAATACTGGTGACCAACAAATAATAATGATTACTGTGGCGTCCAAAAGAAACTTGAAAATGTAATCACACTATCATCGTGTTAAAGCCTTGCATTACCCACTCCTGCAGCATGCCAATTTTAAAGTTAAATAAATTCTGCATCATCCGACACATTAACATTTCATCGATGTAAAGAGACACCCGAGATATGGTCACTCAAGATTGACCTAAAAAATCAGACACTGTATCTTCATACCTGTACAGATACTGTATCTTTCTATCTGTACAAATACTGTATCCTCCCACTTGTACAGATACTGAATCTCCCCACTTGTACAGATACGGTATATCCCCACTTGTACATATACTGTATCTTCCCACTAGTACATATACTACATCCGCCCACTAGTACAGATACTGTATCTCCCCACTTGTACAGATACTCTATCTCCCCACTTGTACAGATACTGTATCCTCCCTCTAGTAAAAATACTATATCCGCCCACTAGTACAGATACTGTATCTGCCCACTTGTAGGGCTTGAATACATCTGTAATTTGACACCAATATTACAGTCATAATAATATCAAAATTGTACATGGCTCATTTTGTCGTTCTGCTTACATCATAGTTTTCTTTAACGCATTTATTTCAGACTGTGTGAAAATAAAGGTTCACGTAAAATAAAAGTAGCAAAATAACGTTCCAGTTTCGACTACTTGGAAATAAGCTTGCCTTAGCAAGTTGCGCTTGCAAATATTATAGGCAGGTACGCTCTATTATGATTCCTTAAGGCAGAATGAGTGTGTTAAAATCACAACACACACGTTAGGCTCAAAGCTGACTGATTGTATTCATACGAAGAAAAACATGTCTGTTCTTTTAATATTAATATTCTGTTGCCTAGCTTGGGTAATACGCACTTGTTCTTTTTTTTCTTCTTCAAGTGTCAGATCTGAAACAGACATCAATGATATCACGGCCGCTGCTTATTTCTCTGCTCAGAAGCCCTACAAAATAATAATCTACCTTATCGTGGTCGTTTTTGTGTTTGCTGTAGCAAGAAAACTCTGGACCACGCACAGAAAACATTACAGGCATTTCCCTAAACCCTAGAACCAAAATGTTTGACGTATGTTTATGGCAGATCAGATCGAAATTAGAAATTTAAAAATTTAGAATTATTTAAAAAGTGTCCAGAAATGACACAAACACTTCCTGTTTAGTTTTTGCATTCTGAAAAACTAGATTTAAACATATTATAGTAGTAAATTTAATTTCAAATCAAGCTAGAAATCGATTATATTTAAAAATCTGATTAAAAAAACCAAACAAACAAAGCGCAGTCTAGTTCATTTGTAGTCGTGTTACTTACAGTTTTACGCACTTATTCCTGGGATTTTTGGTGCCCTTTTCACTATGTGTGTATAACATAGAATTTGGGCCCATGTTCCGTTTGCAAGCATTAGATCTACACCCTAATGACTGGAATTAATTCACTTTCTCCGCACCTTGCTTTACGGCTGCTGACCATGTCTTTGGCTTGGTGTGCACATGCAGAGATCCGTGTGTAAGCCATTTCATCACATATTATTAGAGCTGTACCCCGGTAGCAAACCCGCTCGTGCTCGCAAGCCCCTGGCCCCTAGTTCAAGTCACAAGCTTCAAATCAGTAAATCACTAGATCTAGGTCAAATGAAATCCTCAAATCAAATCACCAGGTTGATATGTTGAGTCAAGCCTAAGCTTCAAGTCCACACCAACTAGCAATCCGCGAAGCCACTCGTGTCAGACCCCCTCATCCTCCCTACCCTGCTGGCAATCCGCGAAGCCACATACGCCAGAAAGAGAGAGGGGGAGAGAAAGAGACCCCGCTCACAGTACAGTCACAGAGTCACAGCACAGCAAAGTATCTGATATCTCAATGTGCTATTGTAACTGTGCTACAGTTAAAGAAGCGTGTCATCCGTGGCACAAGTGGACCAAAGTTCGATTCACTGCCGGGAAGGGTTGCTTTAGCCTTTTTTTTATGCAGGTTTGTTTTTACGCCTCTGTAGACATAATTTAGATCATTTACAAGGCGGGCTTCCGACTCTGCCTGTCAGGGTCAACCCGGGCTGGGTGAGAGGGGTACAACATCACTGCAGAAAGACCGAGATACTCGATAAAAAATTTCTCCTCACTCGGGAATCAAAGTCAGGTCTCCTGCTTGTGACAGCGAAGTGACTTACCGCTACACCACAGACGATGGTCTTTTTTTGTCTTCGTATTTATTGATTTATTTATTTTTGGAGTGGGGGTGGGAGTGGGGGTAAGTGTTTTACGGCGCTCGCAATTGCATAAGGTCATATGAGCGCGCGGGACTCACTAAACATATTCAGTTGGAAGGAAATTTTGAATTTTGCCCAGGTAGCGGCCAGAGTCTTTTCGATTTTTGGACCACCAAAGGATTTTTTGACGTGCACAACTTGCCCACGGGCGGGACCTCCGACATTTTTTCACCCTTATCCGAGAAGGTTAGGTTTTAGATCTTACCTACCTTAAGATCAAGGGTGTAGCTGAAAGACAGCAGTAAAAAGAAGCCAAGGAGCAGCAGTAGAAAGGCTGCAGAAAGAGTCAGGAACCCAGAGGAAGGGACAAAGGAGGTGACGGAGTGGGGGCAGAAAGTGGAGACGAAATAAAGCAGACGACAGAACATTGTTCGAGAGCAGGAAAGGGTGTGAAAGGAAAACGTTTTCCGTCACTATCCGGATTTGAACCCGGGACCTATTGCAATGAGAGGCAGACATCTTAATTAACCTCTAGACCACAAGAGCCCCCCTCTGCGTCTTGATGTTGAGAGAAAAGACTAAAACATAGTGAATAATGAAGATAGAGACACTAAGGCTGATTGAAAAGAATGGATCCGTAAGACAGATCTGAGATAAAGAGCAAGATTAAATCTAATACAATGAAGAGGAAACATTTTTGCACAGTTTGCAATCTCTTCAATGTTAATCAACTGCCGTACTAACTAGATCTAGTGTCTAGTTTGTGGCACTGGGATTTTGCTATTCAATACAGTGATGTAATATTACTATTGCACTTTAATGCAAATAGGCTAGAGAAAAGACTGAGAAATGAAAACTGTCAACCTGCTTTAGCGACCACCTGTAAAAATAAATACAGTAAAACACATCCCATTTCCAAACCTGTGGTTTTTTATATACAGTGACACTGTCCAAGAGGATCACCTGTCTAAAGTGACCACTTAATTCTCCTCCCTTTGTGGTCGGCTTGGACAGGTTTGACTGTTATTGAAATAGGAAGTCGCCATTGCTGAGCGAGGGATGACTGGATAAAAATTCACTTTTAAAAAGGTTAACAAATAAAATTCGCGCCTCACGAGTAGGCTATAAGAATTAAATCATTAAGTAAATCCAGCAATACAGACCTCATCCCACTCATCAGGTATAGAAAAATATGGATAGATCTTCTATGTATGATACTTACTAATGCATGAAGGCCTACTTACAGCAACTTATCAAGATCTAGAAACAGGTTTAGAATTTAGTCTCAGTAGTCTTGGTTTTTTAGATTAAATCATAGGCCAATAATGAAGTATGTAGCATAGCTATAGCCTTGTTAAATGCCCAGACTTAGGCCCACTAACTTACACTGTTTAAAATGATGATTGATAGCCCACTGGTTCATGCTAGAGGCCTCTGTAGGCTAGGACTGCTTACAAAATCACCTAGAACAGCAAATTGAGATTTAAATCCAGAGTATAATATCGTCTCCGTGGAGTTTAAATGTTAAATCACTTCTTTGTGACTTGTGCCCCTCCTGGTATCGCCATTACAGATCAATTTCAAATACATGTTGGACGTTGGTACCAGTATCTGCCATCGCAGTCAATTTGATCTAGAATCTACGACTACAGGAACTAATTATTAACAATTTAAAAAAATAACCTGACATTCATGATTCACACACAAATACTTGACTTCCATTCAGAACTCAATAACGTTTTAAACTCTGATAAAACTTACCTTTAAGCTGGAAAAATTTAGACGAGATGAGAGATCACAAAGAACACGTATTGCTAGATCATTTAGATTTATATATAGATCTAGGACTCTCTGGCTTCCTCGGGAAACTCGGAGTTGCTAGCCCACGCTGTCTTACTGTGTCTTGGGTTATGGTGAACAATCATTGGGTGAACCCATTGAGTGAACCCACGGTTCTAGACTAATAATAGTTACGGGAATTTCTGTCGTGACAACATAAAAGCTTCTAGAAAAAAGACATGAAGGAAAGGCACGTTCTTCTGTCTTCCAATTGACATGATTAAGTGCTACCCACGGCGGAACAACTCATATTAATATATTAAAATGCAGATGAATAAATGAACAGCTAACTTGAAATGTTATCTCTTTCTTTCTCCTTTCTTCCTTGTCCTCCCTTATTCTGACTGCAGCGCCTGTCGTTTTCTATTGACGAAATGACGCATTTAGGTCTAATGGGGTTTTCCCATTTAAAGAGATACCACCCCCAACCAAAAAAACCCCCACTAAACAAATAAAAAACAACAACAACAAAAACAACAACAACAACGACACACACAAAAAAAGAACTAACTGGCATTCCCAATTTCAGTTATTATTCTTTTAATTAAAGACTAGGTAAGTAACATCACTATAAATTAGACTATTATACCACAATTTTAGAGTATCATTCACTCTGAGTTACGATGTTCTACTGTGGGCTTAGACCTAATCATAATGTTACTATAGCTTGTGCACTTTCGTCTGTCGGTGTTTAAACAATCTATAGCTTGTTCACATTCTTTGCATTGCAATTCTGCAGGCCAAAGACCGAACAAAAATGTTTTTCAAAAAAATCTTGATCCTGTAATTTAAAAAAATATTTAAGACAGCGACACA